GAAACGGTCGTCCATAAAATGCATTGCTGTTCTGTTGTAAGTAATCTTAAAGATTCCTAAATGCATCTACTTTCGGAAGGCCAAATAAAGTGCTTTTGCTTTCACCTAGAAACACACAGCGTCTCCCTGACATGGCTGCTTCAACACTAACTGCGGTTACTGAAACCACGCCTTCTTTCTTTGCGTGAACATTTGGGTGGCATTACGCAAATATTTCCACATAGTGAGGTAGATATGTGGGGGCGTGTTAGAACGAGCCATTTTAGGGGGGCGTGGCAGAGTCTTAACTTTGATAAAGAATATCTCTTTGGTTTTGAGACTTTAGTCTTTGCAACTTCAGGGATCTTATCTATGCACAATCAGCTTGTAACACTCCAAAGAGAAAGGAAAACTTGAAATCGCATCATATGACCCCTTTAAATATTTGGGCAGCGTTATTGAGAAAGTACCACAAGATGGCGCTATTGCCTTGGAAAGTCGGTGTGTGTTTGCCTGAGTGAAAATAATTAGCATAGTTATTGTTTTACAAAATGTCTGATTATGTTATTTTGCTGTTTTTAAGAAATGCCGTTGCACATTTATATCTAAAAATTCATAAATCTATAATATATTTATTCAGAAGAGGCGCAATCAAAAAACAGTCGTTTAGATAGCTTCTTATTTGACTAAACCAGCAAACTAGTGAATTGCTTTGAGAGGCTTAACACCCAAGAGAAATATATGGGTGTCTTTCGGGTTGAGTTGTTGACTGTTAGCAGGACAAAAACAAGTCATGAAGTGCCAAATGGTTTTGGCTCTGTGTTGAGCGGAAATATCTGTCCTCTCGCAGAGTGATACATTCCTGTCATTTCTCAGTGACTCTGGGCTGCTGGGCTGCACTGTACTTCCTATAAGCTGCTGTATGACCGCATGTTTTCTTATTAAGACTGGTGTCATAAGAGATGTGTCCGCAGTAAAGGACTCTTTTGGCCTCATGGTGTGTTTGTTTTGGTGTGTTTGAGATTTAGGAAGAGGGCCACAGTGCTAGAGGATCAGTAGAAATGTGTAGAGAAAAACAGTGTACAAAAATTGTAAAAACAAACAAATGATAAATGTATTCAATGTATTCAAATAGCCTAAATAATAATAAAAAATAAAATAAATAAATACAGAACAAGGGAGTGATACGGGATCAGTGGAAACGTTTAAAGAAAAGGGTGTAAAAATATAAAAATAAATGATAAAAATCTGATAAAAATAAATGAGCAATAAAAATATTGACTTACATGAAACTAAAATAGAGGGTTAGTGAAAATGTTTAAAGAAAACAGTATAAAAATATAAAATAAATAATACAAATAAGATAAAAATACAAATAAATAAATAAACAATACATTTAACACTACAGTACTATAGTAAGTAAAAAAAATTCCAAATAATAGTTTACACATCATTATAATATTTACTTGTCATAGTATAAATTGGGTCTGTATATTTAAAAATATGTAGCTGCCTTCGCATGAGGATGAGCATATTTGCGGGTCTGTGGCATTTAAAGGAGACATATAATGCCCCTTTTTACAATATGTAATATAAGTCTCTGGTGTCCCCAGAATGTGTCTGTGAAGTTTCAGCTCAAAATACTCCACAGATCATTTATTATATCATTTTGAAAATGCCTATTTTAGTGGAAGCAGAAACACGCTGTTTTTCGGCCTGTCTCTATAAATGCAAATGAGCTGCTGCTCCCCGCCCCCTTTTCCAGAACAGAGCTGCACCGTTACAGATCGGACCTGCTAAAAACATCTGTTTTGGTTCTGATTATCATGTTTATCGTGCTGAAATCATGCGTTTTAAAACATATGAGTTTAAACTTCTGATATACGGTTTTCTGAGTGCACACATCCGAAGCGCACGGCGAGAAAGTGGCCACCACACAGCATGTGAGTATTAAACTAAGTTCTCATTCACACACAAGTTTACGTTAAAAACTCACACGAGTTACAAAAACAGTCGGTTATGTCTATGAAGGTAAACAACTGGGAAATCTGTGTGGCAGCAGCAATATACAGTAAATAAATCAATAAATCCACTGCTCTCTTGTCTCCTCTGAGGCTGGGACT